TATGAAGATGCCAACTTTGAATTACAACGATTAAAAATTACTAACTTTTTGTTTACTTTAATTTACTCTCATTAATTTATTAAATGTGCAACTGATCTAGTATAGCACCTAATAGGAGGTGCGAGTTAGTTCAAGTGAAAGGCTTAAAAAAGGGCAAGGGCTAGGCCCAAAAGAACATGGTTAGAAGTAGTGAGAAAAGATATGTGGACTTATGGCCTCACTGAGGATATGATCATTAATAGAGCAGAATGGCGGACCAGGATTCATGTGGCCGGTTTCAATTAGTTGGGAAAAGGCTTTGAATATGATGGTGATGCAGCTGAGAGGTAGGCATCTTATGGGAGCAAGACACCACATCTATAGTGTAGCGCCATTAAAGTGGTGAGCCTCGCTTGTAGTTCCGGTAGTGAGCTTAGCTGGGGAGCATATGAGAATGAAAGTCTTTTTGCTTGGTATTCTAGAGTCTAGATTATAGAAACCTACTAGGCATTGGGCCCTCCTCCTTTTTTCTTTTGCTCGTTTCCCATTTTCTACTATAGATCCATCTTAAAACAAATAGAGCAAAAAGAAATTAATGATATTCTGACATAACAACTGCCTTAAGGCGAGGTATAAGAAGGGCATGGACTTTGACCCCATTGTCTTAGATGAACTACATGGCACAAATAAATGTATTGCACACCCTAGACAGGGGGTGTTTGAGGCTGAAGAATTAACCTGGTTGGATGTCACACGGGCTTTAGGGGCTGACGAGGACTCCAGGCGTAACACAATATCATATCTATATTAGTTCCAGAGATAGAGTTGGAGGCTGATACAAAGGCGAATGAGGAGGAAGAAGTATGTGTGGACAAGGGGACAGATGACACATATAATGATGGCTCAACTCTTGAATTAGGAGACATAGAAGATGCACATACATATGACTTGGGAATCGAATTGATTGTCGTCATATTCTTATTTTTTATGTCGTTAAATTTTGATTTTTGGATGTAGCTGCGAAATACTTTAGCATTTGCCAGTATGCTACATTGTACTTAGTTGCTAAATGTAAATAGTTTTTGAAGTGCTTCATTGGTACAACACATTTCCTTATGTGTTTTCTTGAACTTAATGGATGGATTAGATCACTTTGATTTACATTGTAAATTATATTAGAGAACGGAGATAGAAAATGTCTCTGTTGCTCTCTATCAACAATTCAAATAAATGTTTAGAGATGTACTTTTGATTTTTGGATGTAGCTGCAAAATATTTTAGTATTTGGCAGTATGCTATAATGTACTTAGTTGCTAAATGTAAATAATTTTTTAAGCACTTTGTTGGTACAATGCATTTCCTTTTGTGGTTTATTGAACTTAATGGATGGATTAGATCACTTTGATTTACATTGTAAATTATATTAGAGAATGGAGATAGAAAATGTCTCTGCTGCTTTCTATTGACAATTCAAATAAATGTATATATTAGAGACGTACACTAAATTAAAATGCCTAATACCACATCTCATTTACTTTATTCTTGCAAAGTTAATAATCTTTTTTATATTTATTGTCCACATTAGAAGCTTTGCGCTTGCATTGAGGCACATCGGGTGTTGGACACCCCTAGGGCACCTCACTGCTATCCTGCATTAAAAACCAGTCATCTAAACATTACTACCTTTTTTTGGGTGTGATTGTAAACATCCTATCTTTTCATCATAACATAGAACTCTTTGCTTACACCCCGCTCTCAAGTGGAAGGGTGTAGGTTCAATATGCCTTAGTTGCATAACTGATAAAAGATAAGGCCTAGCTTGCGTATTGTTAATTGAAACACATGATGTCACGTGCTTTAAGAAGCATATGTGCAGTTTGATCATCACTTCCTAAATAGGGAGTCTTTACTGTTCCCTTTCCATTAGGTCTTTGAGTACAGGTCTTTGAACACATGAAAGCCACTCAGTTTTATGGTTGTAGAAGATTTTGTCGGGAGGAGCTACAAATTAGACGGGTGAAAATCACTGTTATCAAGACTTGGAGATTGGCTGTCGAACTGGAGGGGCACATCTTACAACGACAAACATTTGAATGGATAAAAATATTAAAAATTGGAAGATAATATGTTAGACCCTTATGATCGGCTTTTTGAACTTGTATTGACCAGCCCATTCTATAAGTTTTGAGCAGTTCGACTGGTTTAGGCGATTTCATGTTTTGAGCATGGACTGGGCTAGTTATAGGCCTGTGTCCCTGTTCAACTATTTGAACTGTTTGGTCTTCTCCCATTTACTATGGACGATGTATATGGTGAAACACTATCTCAACCTCCCAAAATCTTGACTTTAATCTCCAAAGTTACATCTCTTATTCAAAATGTTTGTTGAAGAGAGTCAGAATATTTGTGAAGAATGTATTTAACCTTCCTGCACTGACTTCACTTGGCCTTGTATCCGTTTGTTGAACCATGTGTTTTTCCCTTTCTGTTTTTTACTTATCCCTAGTGAAGTAAGTATGAATCCCTTTCAGTTTGCTTTGAATTATATTCCAAGAGTGAATGAGGTGTATATGATGATTGCCTCAATTGGACAGACCTAATTTTATAGTGGTTTGGCATATATAGCAATTGATAAATGAATTAAATTTTTTTCTTGGGTCTTTGATTTCACCATTCGTACATTTATAATGAGGAAAGCATCCCCTCTCAATAAATTCTCTCCAAAATGAGTTTGTGTTGGGGCCTTAGCATGTACATGTATATGTGGATTTGTATCAGTCTGTGGTTGTATTTTGTTCTTGATGATCAGTTTCTTCATTCTTCTACGCCTTTATGTATACTGTTAATATCGCCTTCCCTCGACAAGGCAGTTTGTTCACTTCACTTTTTTTTTTGTGTATTTTGTATAAAGAACTCCATGCCATCATTCTTCCTTTGAATTTCTATACTTAGGTACATTTCTCAAATCCAACCTTACATGCTGCATCCAACTGTTTGGGTTATGTGGGCATAAAGGCCTTATGAGAGCTTGTAAAATTATGACTATAGTGATGTGATAGCTCCAGTGGGAGCGTGGTCCAGATGGACTATGTGGCATGGTCTAGGGAGGATTGTGAGGCATTGTTGATGCCATGACTCACTTGAGTTTTGATGGGCTATGGCTCAGGTTGTTGTTTAAAAACCCATGGCCCTTGGTATTTGTGCACAATTGATAAGGATTTCGATGTGGGGTCATCCCTTGATGTGTCAAGAGTTGTGCCTAGGGTGGCTGGCTAGGGGACTTGGTGTGACCCCTGTATGAGGTGGTTAGTTGGAGAGGACAAGGGTCAAATCCTCATTATTACCATTACATGACATGTACACTAGATAACCGTCCGAGAAGCAGCCCTCTGGGTGAGGATCATTGTTTACATGTGTCGAAGAGATGTCTCCCTGCAACACTGAACTGTGTTGGAACTTGGAATTGTCCTTAAGGATGGACCTGTATCCATGGACTAGGATCGTGTCTCCTTCATTTATTGGCTGACTTTAATAGTTCAAGCATGAACCCCTATGATGGGTTGTGGGTCATGGGAACTGTTGGGTTTGAGAAGATGGCAATGAGATGAGGTTTTTAGAAGGGATGGAGTCCTCAGTATATTTGTGATATTCTTGACTCTTTGGATCCAATTCTCATCGAATTCTTTTTAATATGTTTAATTATATTTTAAATTATTAAAATTAATGTTTAGATCTCTTGGGCTATTTTATTTTAGTGAAAAACTATTTTTAAATACGCTAAAATGAATTTTCTGGATTTATTTATTTTAGAGAGAAAGAACAAATATTTATTGATTTCTAAAAATCAGTTTTATTAATCTAAAATTATTTTGAGGGTGTGGGGCTCCATTAGATCCTTGGAGCACACTTGGTGGGGGCATGGGGTCCACATAGGCCACACATGGTGGGACGCCCCACGTTTTCCTTTCCTTAATAAGTGGCTTGTGAAGCAAGCCTTCTAGATGGTTTTGAAATACTTGGAAAGTGTTTCAAATCGAGGATGATTGTTTTAAAAGTGGAAAGTGTAAGGATTGATGAGAATTAAATAAATTAATATTTAGTATTTTCTCTACAAATATTTGATGAGAATAGAGTTATGGAAACTGAGTGATTGTGACATTCCTTTAATCAGATCTAAGGAAGGTTAAGCCCCAAAACCGTGTAATGGTGGCATGCCCTACCCTTGAGATAGTACATGTGCTTGTGTTTTGTGCTTTGAGGTATTCATCCATCCCATGTCATGCTCTCAAGAGGTTTTGCCTAGGCTTCCCAAATTATGAGACAAGGTTAGGACCGTGATCCCGTGTGCCATCGGTTGAGGAGACATGATGTGGGATTTACGAAGTCCTTGGGGGTAACTTGAGGTAAAGCATTCAGTAATTCTAATGGCTCCATGTTTCTTGATTCTTCACGCATTGTATTTTTTGTTTGATTGTAAAGAATTGTAATGGTATGCAAGAGAAGATTGTATTAGAGTTTATTTTATGAGTAAAGTTGTAATTTTAGACACCTGTAAATATTCTAGCCGGTATGAATAAAAGAAAGAAATAAATTTTTTTAACTGTATATACTTGGCTAGATCACATTGTCCATATTTCACCAACTAGTCTCTAGAAGCTTTTAGAAATGAATTTTAAGCAAGCCACTTTCACCCCACTACTAGAATCATGAGAAAGGGAATGTTGAATTTCAATTTCTTGTAGACTTTACTGTTTGTGAGATTTTGATTTTCAAGGGCACCAATTTGAAGTGCTCTTTTTAAATGCCGAATAAGGTTACTCCTAAGTTATTCTTGTAATAAGATATTTTAACATATTCTGGTGCGATGATGCTTAATATTTGTTGGGCAAGTTCTCTTGTCCTCTTTTCGCCCCCTTTAATTTTTGGTTGGTTCTGTAGTATAGTGCTCTATGCTTCTTGCTGTTCATTATTGCAAATGGAATAACATAGCAGGCTAAAGAATGTCGCTTCTTGGTATGCAGCTATTTTACAAATTTGTTGAATCCAGCATGGACCTTCCATTTGGAACTTACTCAATTTTGCTGAAGGGTCTTTTGGGCGCTGGGAAGTGGAGAAAGTACCTAGAGGTAACTGATGATTTGGCTTGTTTAAATTTTCCCTTATAAAATTTAGTTATTTCCAGATCAAATGAGCTTATTTTGAGATTTCTTTATGTAAAGATTCCTGCTCAAATAATGATCTGCGATGCGTCCTTGAGGATTAAAACTTCCTTTATAAGATTGCATTAATGTGACTCATCTTCTGTGTTGGCTCCATACTTTCATATAGGTTATGGTGAAATTTGTATCATTTTAAGGTCTAGTAGTTTGTTTGTGGACCATATCTTGATACGCTCAAATCATACAGATTATGTGTGTTTGCAACTGCGCATGTATCTATAGTCAATACATATATATATTTGCCTTTCGTTTTTTTGTACATATGTATTCATCTATGTATATATGTAATTGTTCGTGTTGCAAGCACATATGCATGCATGCAGTCCTGCATGCGCATGCATGCAAGCATCCATACAAGCATTGGAATGATAGGGTCTGAGAGGGTCTTGAAACACCTTATGACATGGTGAAGGAACACTCAAAAGAGAAGTTGATTTAAGTTGATTACTTGATTTGTACCAAAGAAATCAATAGTTGTTTCGCTAAATACATGTTTAAATGCAGGATAACTCCAAGTTAATATTATATTGAGGGTATTTTTCATTTTACTGCATCTATTTTGAAATGCATAATGGAGGCATAATGGTGGTATTCACCACTTCTTGGTGGAGGTCTTATCTTCTTAAAGCATGAAGGAAATCTAAGGATATTTAACTGTTCATACTCTTGTGGATGAATATGCTTATTATTCTTTATTATTCGAGCCTGGCATTAATTTTGTTTGTTAGTTCATGCATGAGTCCGTTGATCGTTATTTGCCCAAAATAATATATTCTTGGGTATATAGATGTTATGGTTCTGCAAATGCAGATGAGGCAGATTCTTATAATTATAAACGATTAAAAAACGAAGAAGACGAAAAACAAAATTAGTACATATTCTTGTGGCATAATTTGATTTCATGGTGCACTGGAAGCCGCTGTGAGCTGTCTGTTGCTTTCTCTGGTGCTGAAGTGTACATGTCTTCTTAGACCATGGCTGTAAAGTTTTCTGGTTGACATTCTCTTACGGGACCCTGGTTCCCATATCTGAACCTATCATATTAAGGTTCAAAACATTGAAGCTGGTCTTTGATCAAAATCTAGTTCAAGGCAAGGCAAGTAGACTCTGAGAATATTTCAAGTGAAAAGAAGAATAGAAGACAAAATTAAAGGAAAAATATTAAAATTAAAAAATAGTTTTTGGTCATTTTAAGGTATTATGTAAGCAACTTATGTAAAATAAAAGTATATTGTATTTTATGCATGTATAAATACGAGAAATATGTCAATGGCTTTTAATATAATTTTAAATCTAAAGCAATATATAAATTACACATAAATTGCACTTTCACATGACAATATTAAAGGTTTAGCTATTAATATGAAAGCTGGGAAAATTACACGCAATCTTTTTCTTTTCTAACTCATGAGAATTCTTTTACATGCAATCTTTTTCTTTTGTAACTCATGAGAATTGTTTTATTTCTTATTATATACCCTACTTATCTTTTTGATAAGTACTGTATATTTCACTCTTAAGGATCAAGTTTTTACATGTAAATGTTATTAAAAAATGGTTTTTAGGGTGAACCAGTTTTTTAGGGTGAACCAGTTTATGTCCTGATCCTGTGTGGGGTCTGAACTGGTCCTTCATCGGTTCCGCAATTTTGAAAACAATGGTTTTTACACAGCTCTGAGTTGAAAGGCCATTGCTAGTATCAATAGGGTACTGTCACTAACATATACTTTCAGTAGCCTGTTTAGTATAAAACTATAAAAAGAATATTGGCACTAAGAAAGTTTAAATAAGTTTAATATCGTGCATAACAAGCAGATATGGGGCATGATCATTTATATATGGTTGCGAAGGTGGTTGTGGCCATAAATCCTGGATTATATAACGTGTTCATTGTTGATTATGTTCATAGGTGTTTGTTCTTTGGAACACTTTCTTTGCCAACTGTGTTAGACCACTTCGAAAAAATGTGTTGGACCACTACTAATTCTGGTAATTTAAGAACATGTGATGAAGCTTAAAATTTTTAAAAAAATTTGTTTGTGCATGTGACCACGTGAGAAGTTATGTACGAGCTACCTTTTGATGTATTTAATAAATACTTTCATTACTTCTTTCATGTTTCAGATGTTCATACTCATCATTGTCTCCATGTATAACAATCTAAGTATTGTAAATTATCTCAATGCAGGTTTTACAATGGATGGAGGATTCAAATTTACAGCCATCACTTGAAATGTATAGGAAAGTTCTTCCTTATGCATGGACCGATAAAAGTATGAATTGTGCCTCTTTTATTCAAAGAAAAATAGGTAAGCGCATTGACAATAATTCTCTGTTATAAGCTGAGATGGTTTTGTCATCTATCATTTAACTAGTTCAACTAACAGAAGGTCCTATATTGTTGTTTGGGACTTAGTCGGCAATATGTTGTAATTAATGTGCGAACTTGTCATTTTAAATGGAAAAACATTAAAGAAAATACCTAGGGGTGTGAACCATGAAACATATGTTTGTCATGAATTCTAGAGGACATCTTTGGCTATGGTATCGGAGAAGGTGGATACTGACTCTTGTTTGATATATTCTGTAAGAACAAGGCACTTGGAAGCCTTTATTGTAGCAGAACCAAGCCAATTGAGTCATATTTTTGCATGAATGAAAGTATCAAACAGCAATATGTCCTGGAATTGACATTTAGAAGGATGTCATTCACTCTCCATCATTTTAAAGAGAGAAACAACCTTGTCCAAATTTTCATGCACATTTTGTTGCAAAATTGTACTCTCCCAGTCTGCACAACCCACGAATGTGATAAAAATGCTCTCTAGATTGTTTGCAAATATGAAAAGCTTTGACAAATCTATTAAACTCAAGGCCACCAAATGCTCACTATTTTAAGCCTTCTCAATCCTTAGGTCTCATGGAGTATTCCCAAATTTGACAATGTGAACTCAAGATGGGGGCAAGGAGCCTACCAAGAGAACTGATCAGCCTTGCTTGGGCATGGATATTTTCAAAGCAGAGCACCACAGAGCCCAAGGACATGGTATACTGTAAACCACCCTAAAACAATTAAGCCTGGCCAAGATGCATAAAATGGTTAACATGAAAGATAAATTACTTAAAGGCCAAGTTTTTGAGACACATAACTTCCTATAAAGAACTGACTTTGTCAAAGAAGAAATTCCTTGGTAGCGTCGTACTGACCTGGATACCATAGGGTACACCAACCATGGGCAAGATGCCACCCCCACCCGGCTGGTCCTCTGTTACTTATAAACTTTCCGAGGATTCAAAGCCTCCATATTACATCACCATCCATCATAGAAATGAGCAATAATTAATGCAATTGAACCATATGCCCCAGCCCATAAAAAATGATCTCTACAGTGAACTTTTCCAGTTTCCAAACTGAAATCTATCCTTAAGTTTAGCCCTACAATATTGGTGACAGCTTGCACCACTTAAGCCACACAGCATGAGAGAGTAAATTACATAAATCTGAAAATGTTTATGGAATTTTTTGGCAATCTGGAAACAGAGAACTTGACAAATAGAGGAACAGCAACACGAGGGCTCATAATATGAGACGCTGAAATTGCTAGGCTTTAGTAACATAAGACTAAGATATGCTAGACAGCTGGCAAATCATAGCTACTGGACATGCAAGGTCACAAGTAGATGACTGAGGATAAACTAATGGTCCACAGTTTGGGGCAAGTAGAAACGATCAGGTGATGTCCAAAGTTAGTGAACATGAAGGCTAAACATGGAATTTGGTGGTACGATAGAGCTTTCATCACGCAAGTAGCCTCAGGTCAGAAAATTCATAACATGAAGCAAAAATTTTGATTAGCCAATCTCAAGAAGATAAGTAACGAATGTTTAGAAGTAATCACTTACATGGTGAAGCCATGGAATGGTGACACCTATTTGGGTAGTTGGTACAACAAATAACAGACGTAAAATTGGAATGTTACATGACGATTAACATGGATACTACAAGGAAGTCTCCTCATACAGTAAAGGTGGAATAATATACATATGGTTAATGTGCTCTCTGATGAGGGTGATATTTTATAAATTTCCAAATTCTTATTCGAAATTGTATCGTTGTTATTGTCTGCATCCATGGCCATGTTTCTTACATATTTCCATATGCTTTTGTTGTCCACAGATTCCATTCAGAGATCAGAACACTAAGGGAATTTTGTGAGGAATGGATGATCATCATTCTTACACAATCCATGGATGCACATAATTGAAGCATCAGCCAACCCAAAAATGCAATTCATACAGATTGAATTGTACATATGCAGCATCAAGGTTTTACCATCCAGAAATATTACATCAGAAACGCGGGGATTCTGATGTCAAGATGGGGGAATAAGCCTGATTTCTTGTGTATAAGAGCTAGTCTTCAAAAGATTCATGGGAAGTCTGTATCCTAATTGAAAGTGTACTTGAGTCGCTGTAAAATCTTTTTGTACTCATATATCAATATATATTTCTTCAATTTAAGTTCATTAAACGTGTGTCATCCTCTTTTTGTTTTTCTTTTTTCTTGTACAGTAGTAAAATGTTCAAACGTGACGTAAGCAGCAAATGGAACCTTATAGCAACAGGTAACCCTGGAGTTAGTATAATATTATGCTGCCATATATTTTCGAAGTTTAAGCATAAATGCACTCAAGGCTAATATGGTCCATGCTAAGGTTGTCATGGCGACCAAATCTATGAATTGTAGACAATCTATTTGGGGTAATCTACAAAGGCATGAATGTAGATCATTGCTCACCCCCCAAAGTAAAGGGCGCACAATAACTTAAAGACTTCAGACCAATAAGTCTGATCAATTAAGGAATGAGTGCCGCAGGGATGTAGCAACCTTGTGGTGGCAGAGGCGCCATGCTCATATAGAGCGGGGGAACTGCGCCATCGATTCATGGGATGACTTTAAAAGGGAAATCAAAAGGCAGTTCTACCCAGAAAATGTGGAGTACTTGGCCCGTAAGAACCTTAAGCGGTTGAGGCACACGGGGTCAATACGAGACTATGTGAAGGAATTTTTGACCCTGATGCAAGAGATACCTGATATGGTTGAGAAATACCTATTCTTTAATTTCATGGATGGCTTGCAGCCTTGGGCTGAACAAGAGCTGCAAAGATGAGGGGATGACTGAGCAATTGGTCGAGTATAAAGAGGCAGTTCCTCATGGCCAAGACCCTACATGGATGATGATGGCTTTAGTAGGGAAGATCAGGAGGAAGTCTTTAGCCCATAAGGTAGACATGGCGAGCCCTCATGGTGGATGGACAAGAAGGAAGGGCTGGGTGAGCCCATAGATTGGAAGGAAGGCTATGAAGGCCGAAATAACAAGGGCCAACGTGATGTGCCCATGGAGCACGCCATAGTCGGGACTGCCTTAAGAAGGATAAACATACGGAACAAAAAGTGGAGTGCTTCATATGCGATGGGCCACATTGGGCACGGGATTGCCCCAAGAGGAAGGCTCTTAATGCTCTTGGTAGAGATGGACGACCCTAAAGGTGGGGGAGACGTCCAGGAGACTCGAATAGGGTCACTACAACTCCCCAAGGGGATGAAAGCTGAGATGGGGAGATCCAAAGCCCCAAGTAAGAGGCTCATGTATGTAGAAGCTCAAATCAATGGGAAGGCAATGAAGGCCATGGTAGATACGGGGGCTACACACAACTGTCTCCAAGGATGAGGCAGACTAGTTGGGGTTGCGGCTTGCCAAGGAGATAGGGTGGGGGAATGCAGTAAACTCAGAGGCCAAACCCATCCATGGCACGGCTCAAGTGGTGGACATGCACCTTGGCCCATGGAGTGGCAAGGTTGACATGTTTATAGTACCTTTGAATGACTATCTGGTGGTCCAGGGGATGGACTTCCTGAGCAGGGCGAAGGTGGTGCCCATGCCCTTTGCGAGCTCGGTGTGCATCATGGAAGGCCCACCTTGCAAGGTGCCTGTGGCGAAAGGTGCCAAAACCAGTTATAAGACTATGTCGGCTATGCAGCTCACCAAGGTGGGGGAGCTGGGACATGAGGATAGAACACTTGGAAAAGGGGAACGTAAGGTGATGGTGCCTAGCCAAGTTGAGCATGGGAAGGCTAAGGAAGGAGGACTTGCAGTACAGTTGCCTCAACGGAGGGAGGTTGATCACAAGGCTTGGTTGGAGCCAAGATGGAAGGCATCGACATTGGGCCATGCTAAGTGGCTCCTTTAAAGCCAAGGAAAGGAACTCCTAGGGCGAGGAATGGTCAGCTAGGCATGGGTCGGCCAAACGTGGAACAGGAGAAGTGGCTAAGGTGCTCGACCGAGGGAAACAACTGACTGCGAGGTGCTTGGCCAAGGATCAGGTAGTGGGTACAAGGCTACATCGGTCAGCAAGGAAAAAGGGGACCATGCACGGGCGTGGAGGCTACTCAAGGACGAGGACCCGACATGGAAGGATTGTGACGAGGGCATCGCATGAATAGGTAGGGGAGAATGTCACTCCCTAGATATTTTGCTATGCCTTGTGCTAGTAATGCCTTGGTAAACTATGCACCTAGACCCTAGACCCATTCTTTGTGTCCCTTGGGCTCGGAAATTTCTAGAGAACTCTAGGGCATGGCATTCATGAGTATTCTAGTGGGTTTCTAGATGAGTCCTAGAGGCTGGCTGTGTAGAAGGCTAGAGGGTTCCTAGTTAATAGATGTATGCCATGTGGGTAAATCTAGACTGCTAGTTATAAAGCCTTGAGCCTATATAAAGGGGAGGACCCCTTATTTGTAAGGAACCTGGGAAAGTTGAAACCTCAGAGGTGTGGGTATTACTCTTGTAGCGCATTCTTTGGATATATAGTGGATTGATAAGGCCTTTGGGCCAAACTCGTGTGTCCCTCTCTTATGTGCGTGTGCTTGGCTATCTAAGTGTGTGGTAACTTAGTGGCATGACTAGTGTGTATGGTAGTGAACACTAGTGGTTGGCTTGGTTGGTGCACGGTTGTGCTCGACTGGAAGGCTAACTTGTCCTTGATGGACTAAGGAATGAGTGCCGCACGGTCGGAAGTGCGGGGCTTCAACTAAGGCCGTGACTAGTAACCTTGTGGTGGAAAGGTTGGAAGCGGCGCATGGGAATGTGGAACAGGTCATGAAATTCGTTGGGTTCAAGTTCGATGGATCGCACGAGGATGTTGAGGCCTTCTAATCCAACGCCCAATCAAGGTTCAAAGTAAGTGCCAAGGGCTCTTGGGAGCTCGCCAACCTTGCTTGCAGCATAAACTATGACAATAGGGGCTCTACCCTCACGGCCCCTCAGCCCGACCAACCCTTGTCCGGTGACAGCCCAAGAGGTTGTGTTCTCTCCCTGGCATATGAAGTTCTAGTTTGGAATATTAGGGGTCTTGGTTCCTCCCATAAGAACTAGGCGGTCTAGGACTTATGTTCTAAACTTTCTCCAACCCTTTTGGTCCTGATCGAAACAAAACTACTGACACCCTCCCTTCGCCAAGTTAGGAACGTTTGGGGCCGTAGGCCTTGTCAATGGACTGCCCAGCAGGCTGCTAGAGCCTCAGGGGGCATTTAGTTGGTCTGGGACCCTTCCTCCTCCACCCTTGGTCCAAGCCAGGTGTGCCTCCCATTCGGTCACCATCTCCATGACTTGGTCATCCAACAGCCTACCGTGGAAATTTTCGACGGTGTACGACCCCAACAATGACCAGTTTATTTTGTGGCAGGAATTGGGCACTGTGGCTGGCTACCCTCCCTCTCGGTGGTGTATCGACGGTGACTTTAACGTCACTAGGTGGCCCAACGAATGCAGCTCGTCCATGAGAATCATGCCTGCTATGCGGTAATTTGCCCACATCATCAACTGCCATGAGCTTATTGACATCCCTCTTCATGGATCTCTATACACTTGGTTCAGTAGCTCCACCCGATCCAAGCTTGATCGTTTCATATGCTCTCAAGACTAGGACCACACCTTCCCGGGGTCCATCTCTTTGGCGCTTCCCAAAACTACCGCTGATCACAAACCGATCCTCTTGGACACATTCCCCATCCCTAGAGGTCCCAAACTCTTCTGCTTCGAACTTTGTTGGATGCATGAACCCAACTACAAGGCTTGCTTGTCCCATTGGTGGCTTTCCTTCTCCCTTGTCACCCTTGGCAGGGCGGGTTTCAGATTACAAAAGAAACTATCCCTTCTCAAAACCTCCCTCAAATCTTGGTGCAACAACTTGCCAAGGAACTTTCTAGATCTCAAATCTTCCATCCATGCTTCCATCCTTGCCCTAGATCTCCTTGAGGATTCTCGACCTTTGACCCTCGCGGAGTCTACCTCCCGCCTTCAACTTAAGTCAGACCTTCAATCCATCCTCAGGGGGCAACGAATCACGGGTCAAATGGCTAAACTATGGGGATCAGAACACAACTTACTTTCACAAAATAGCGAATTGCAGAAGGAGGGATAACTCCATCTCCCTAATTTCACATTAGGGAACTCTCCTTAATGACCCCCCTACCATCGCCAGAACTGTCATCGACTACTTCCAAAACCTTTTCAGAGCCCCTCACACCCCCTCACCTCTGTTGGATGATCTCTTTTTCTTGATCATCATCTCATTCCAGGCTTCTTGGCTTGAAGGACCCTTTGACGAAACCCGAGATCCTTCGAGCAATAAAAGACTTAGGCCAAGATAGGGCCCCTAGCTCAGATGGATTCCCAGTGGCCATCTTCAATTGCTACTGGGACATCTTCCGCTCTGACTTCCTTGCCTTCTTCTCAGAATTCTTCTATAGGGGGATCATCCATCGGGGCATGAACGCCACCTTTATTGCCCTCATCCCCAAGATAGGGGCAATGGAACTTAAGGACTTTAGACCCATTGGTCTCATAAATAGCTCCTACAAGGTCTTGGCTAGGGTGCTAGCAACCAGGCTCAAGCAAGTCTTAAGCTTTATTATTTCCCCCAACCAAAGTGCGTTTGTAAAAGGTAGACAAATCTTGGATGGCACTTTGGTCGCTGACGAGTGCATTAACTCGAGGATGGCCTCCAAAACTGCATGTCTTATTATCAAATTGGACTGAAAAAAGGCATACAACCATGTCGATTGGGAGTTACTCGAAGAAACTAAGAGAAGGATGGGATTCGAGGCCTGGTGGAGAAAATGGATTAGGGGATGCATTCAGGCACCCTTTTTCTCCATTCTCAATAATGGCTCCCTCCAAGGCTTCTTCAAGTCCAACAGGGCCCCAGATAGGGCGGCCCTCTCTCCCCCTTCCTTTTTGCATTAGTAGTGAAGGTGTTTAGCAGGTCGTTGGATAGACTCTATCGCACCTGCAGTATGCCGACGACACCATTCTCTTCTACAAGACCTCCTCTATCCAAGTGAATAACCTCCTCCTTTTCCTCCATTGCTTCCACTTTGCCACAGGGTTCAAAGTCAATCTCCACAAATCCAAGATGTTGGGTTTGTCACTGAACCTTTGCGGATTTCTGGGGTTGCGACAT